TTTAGACAGATGTCCGCGATGAGGTAGTCGAAGCACTTCTGTCGGTCAAGGGCTGCTCCAGCTAAGGGGGGGAGTAAAGTCCTGGCGTGTTCGATGCGCAGGGCGAGAGAAGTGCTGACATCCCCGATGGTGGCTTTGGGAACGGCGCCGAAGCTCGCGGCATAGGTCCATCCTTGCCGCCAGGTCGTGAGGCTACGGTAGGCCGGCGCCTCCCACGCATACATCCACACGGAAAGAACCGAGAGAAGCCGTTGGTCCGTCGGGAGTTCCCCTCGGCCTTTTCGGAGGCACGGGTTTGGCACGTGCAGGAGGGGCTCGGGGATGGTGCCAGTGCGTTGCATAGCACGTAAGACGCTGGCGAAGAGGCGAAGGATGTCGTCGGGTAACTCCTTTGCCTCCTTGGTTGTCCAGCCGTCGAGTCCCCCCGCGCGGCGCGGTGAACGGGTGCGAATGAAGTGGATGAGTTGGTCGTCGGTAAGGTGGAAGGGGGCTGCTGGTGATGGCGTAGGCAGCTCTTGGCGGTATTCGTCGTAGAAGTCCGCCCACGTCGGCATAGCTTCGGCGTCGTGGCCCGCGCGAGCGCGGTACGTGCCCAGGATGGGCTCCCAGGTGTCGACCATGAGCTTGAGCATGTCTTTGGTGTTGGCAACGATAGCGTTGGCGGGGGGGGCGTCGGGAACCTGGGCTGGTAGTGGGCCACGAATGGGGCCGTCGTCGTTGTCCGTGTCGGGCGAGCTACCGTCGCCGGGGCTGAAGCCGCCGGCGTCGGTGTCGGCATCACTGTCGTCCGTGCTAGCTTGGTCAGGGTGGAAGGCGGTGATGTCGCAGTGGAGCTGTGCGTCGTCGGGAGTGGTAGGCGTGCGGAGATACGCCGTGGGCGAGCAGTCGGCAGCCCGTGCGTATATGGCCGCCTTGCGCCCGCTTGGCTCGCGGACGCCCTCAGACCAGATCTTGATGCGTTCGGCTTTGGCTCGGTTTGCACGTCGCGCCAGCTCCGAGTCTAGATTTTGGATCAGACGATCGAGCTGCTCTCCGCGTGGCGTTGGCACGTCGGGGGTCCAGGCGTCAGGAAAGGCCAGGAGGGCCGTGGGGCGCAGCTTGTGGCAGAGAAGGCGGGCCGCGGCCCACGTGCAGTCGATGCGTTGCGCCAGGTGCGGCGGGATAGCACGGCAGTCTATATGATGGTGCAGTCCGATGAAGCGAAGCTCGCAAAGTTGCCGATGGAGCTTGCGAAGGCGGTTCATGTGAATCGTGGAAGCTCCGTAGGTGGGAAAGGCGCGGGGGACAGCGGGTCGCTCCTCGAACGTGGGTGTGAGCCCGTGCATGGTAGGGGCCTTCTTTTTTGGGTGGTCTGGCGGCGGGGGCGGCAGGTCCCGCAGCCGGGTGAGATGGTACTCATGGCTGGCCTCGTTTGCCAGGGCGAACATGCGTTCCACATCGTCGCGTGCGTCAGCCTGCTCCATGCGGTCGTGGAATCGTCCGGCGATGTGGGTCCCTAGTGCCTGGAGTTCGTGGTCCTCATGAGCTCCGTCGTTTGGAGGGTATGGCGTGGGGGCCAGAAGGCGTGGGGCCGTGTGATCGAGGCGGCTTAGGTCGAGTGTGACCTGCAGGCCAACATGGGACTTCGCTGGCAAGTCACGCAGATAGCAGAAGTCGGTGACAAGGGATCGCGCAGCTTGGTTGGCGATGACATAGTCGATGCGCGAAGTGCGGGGGCACTTGGTGACGCGGTCCCAGTCAGGGATATTGCCATATGTGTGCATGGTGTGGTCTGGTGTGCCTTCAGCGACGTTGGACCATCCGTGCTGCATCATGTGCAGCAGGTGTGGATTGTCGTCGATGTTCGTGTTGGCGTCCATACAAATGAAATACGGGGCTGAGCCGACCCTCGCGGCGGCGCAATCAGCAAGCCGAAATATATCAGTGCTGTCCCCTCCAGCGACCCCGTAGAGGCTCGCAATGTAGATCCCAGCGGGACCGTGGTTATTTCGTCGCCGCCTGCGGCGGTGCTGGGTGCAGAGCGGGAGGAAGACCTCGTGCCATCGTTTCTTGGCCTTGAGGGTGGCGATACAGGTCGCAATGTCGTCGACGGTGGAGTCGACGATGGCGTCCTTAGAGAGGATGGCAACCCCGCCCGAGGCGCCGGTGTTGCCCTCGACCGTGTGGTCCGTGCCACCGTGAGCAGCTTTGCGCTGGGCACGCGCCAGGTCCAGGTCAGGTCCCAGACTGGCCTGGTATCCTCCGTGGTGTGGATTGGCGGCGTTGGTGGCGATGGCTTGCCTGGTAGGCTTGGCATGACGGGTCTCCTGCAGCGCTATGACTGCGGCGTTGTGGTCGACACCTAGGGCGGTAATGGTTGGCCAGTTCGCTGGAAGACTCGTGATGTTGAGGCTGACGAGGTGGATGGAGCGCCCTGGCCCATCTCCGTCGGTGGAGCTGGGGTTAGCACGCCCCGCACGGTGGAGGGCGGCCTGGCCATCACCCAGGTAGGAGGCTTGGCCACAGTAGGAGCTCATAGCGTCACAGCAGATTGGCTTGGACGGGGCTGAAGCCGCCGTCGGGCCAAAAGCGTAGGCAAGGCATGGTCGACGCTGCGCCGGGGGGGGTTCATAAACATCGGTAAAACTGCCTCGAAAAAACCTCCTCACTCCTGTACCGTGGGGGGCGGAGGGAGGAAAGGTGAGACGGCAGCAGGGGGAGAGGGAGGCGACTCCTCGATCCATCCTGCCGAGCGCAAGAGCAAAAGCAAACCAGCGGCGGCAGCGTGGCGCGGCAGCGGCACAGCGCGCGCGCGAATACTGCGCACGCGACACCGCTGGTCCGTCCTGCGGCGGCGCGCCCGCCCCGTCAGTGCCGTGGTGAGCATCATCAGCTGGAACAGCTTGTTCATGTGCGCCCTCCGCGCTCGCCTCGGGCGGTGGGCCCTGTGGCTGCGGCGGTGCACGCCCTGCCAGCGCGTCAGCCACTAGCTGGGCGTGGCGAGCGGCGCGGTCGGTGGCCTGGCGCTGAGCCTCGTCCATGCCCGCTGCCGTGAGGCTCGCGTTGCGGACAGGGCTGACTCCACGCGGGGCCGCCGCTGCCGCGGCCGCGGCAGAGGTGGCGGGGGCGCCGCCATGGCTCTGAGGAGACAGCGGTGAGCCGCCGCCGAAGCCCGCCGCGAGGTCCTTGACGCGGTACTTGTTCTTGAAGGGGTCGAAGGTCGGCGCCTCGTCGGGGGGGGCGACGCGGGTGGGCGGTGGCAGCCCCTGATCCGTGGACGGCGTCGGCTCGAGGTCGACCTCGTTAGGG